GAAACGAAATTATCTATATATCTAAAATTAAATATCTTTGACTTTAAATAATTATTATCTCTATAAAAATATACTAAATAGGTATTTTTAAAAACAATTGTGTGAGATTTGTCGAGATGATAATCTATGTGAACCGTAGACATAATTATTTTTAGAAGTCTTTCTTTGCTAAAAGGCTAAAAGCTGAAGTGTTTCATAGTCAGCGAATTGACTGACTTTTTTCGTCGTCAATATTTAATAGAAAAATAAAAGCATAATTTGATAGATTAAACGTTTTCACCTACTCATTGCACTTATTGATGTTTTTTTTTTTTTGAGAAAAAAATTTGATTAGAGTTTGACACTCAGTTCCAGTCCTCTTAACAAAATATAAGTTATTTAAATAGAAACCCTCTTAACAAAAATATCTATATTTTGGTATAAATGAGTTTTCAATTCGATTTTGGGATTATGTTTTTTCTTGGTTTATTATTATTATGAAATTTTAAAATTTTATTTGGATTGGATTTTCTGTCGAATATAAAATCCTCCGTTCCAGTCCCACTCTATTATTTCCTCCCATCTCTATCCATTAGAACAAATCCAAAACAAAATATGATTTTAATGTAACACATGGAATGTGAAAATTTTACAAGTTACTTGGAACCTAAGCAACTAAACTTTCCAATTTTTTTTGCCACTTTATATCTCTCTCTTACACTCGCTCTCTTATTCCAAAAGTGGCTGAAACCCTAGATTCAACCACAAGTTATCTGAAGATTACATTCAAAAACAAACAAAAAAGTTATCTGAAGATCAACAATGAGGATTGTGAAGGAGAGATCTGATTTATGTTATTTGGTTTCTGCTGCAATCAAGACCACTTACAATACACGAAGTCCAGGCGGAGTCGAGCGATGCATCGATGTGTTGAATCAGTTGAAGTATCTGTCTCTTTCAGTCAAGGATATTCAACTGTCTGAGTCCATATTTAACCTTGAGATTCTAAGAAATCATAGGAACCCTAAGATCTGTAAGGAAGCTCAAGCCTTGTTTAATTCATGGATGAAGACACTCTACGCACAAGGAGGAGACAAGCCTCTCAAAGCTGGTCTGATTCTGGACAAGATCTCTCTGAAGCCGAAGAAGCAAAAGCCACAGAAAGCTGCGAAAGATTCTGCAAACCCTAAATCTGCAATCGTGACGACTAAAACAGAGTTGGTGGAGCTGAAGAAGAAGAAAAGAGAGTTGGTGGAGCTGTTTGAAAAGGCACAGAGATCTGCTAATGTGGCAAAAGCTAAGGGTATTCTCTTGGGCAGAGCAGAAGCGTCTCGTTGCGTAGAAGCTCTCTCATTACTCATGAGAATCAATCTCACTCCAAAAGCTACAGAACCAAGGAGGATGGTGGTGAGGCTTGAAGGACTCACAAAGCACAAAGACCGCAAGATCCGTGGTGCTGCATTACCTCTTCTTCAGCTTTGGAGACAGAAGATCAGAGAACAAGAACGTAAAGATTCATTCACGAAGACGTTTCCTAAGAATCCTCGTAAAGCTCGTTAAATTCGCGGTCAAGGCTTCATTAGAAAATCTACAAAGAAGAAGGAAACTAGTGATGTGAAGAATGAAAAGTCTCTGCAAGAGGACTCAAAAGGTTCTAAATCATTGTATCAAGAGGAGTATGAGTGTGAGGAAGAGATGAGAAAAACAGAGATTTGTATGCGTTGTTGAGTGTTGAGCAAGTATTCTAGTGGAACCTGAACTCGTTCTTTGTATCTTTACAGTTACTTGCTTTGTTTTTCTTACACACGAGAGTTCTAATAAGTCGGATTAAGCCTCACAAGTGAGCACATTAGTTTATTTAATTTACCAACTCAAAACATAAGTTATTAGTTTATAATGAAGAAAGAAAGAAAGAGCAGAGAAATCCAGATGCAATGAATATAGTTTTAGGGAATATAGTTTTAAGTTAAGTTGTTATTTTGCACACTTCTTCTTCCTCATTGTCCAGAAGGCAGCAAAGTATCGGTTCTGCAACACACACAACATCACAAATAAACCCACCTTTCGATCCGAAACCAACCAACCAAATGAAATTGAGCTTAGAGATAACGAAATCTGACCTGCATCATAGCCCGGGAATTTGTAGTGTACGTTGTTTCAATTGTTCTTTCTTTCTGCAAATGTTACGACAAGCACCTGAGTGTCAAAGAACAGGTTTATTTTCTACAAGAAAATGTCAATTGTTATGTTGTGTAGATTACTACCTCAATCTCAAATCCATAATGTGAAGCAACTCTCCTTACATCCTCCAAACTTAGTTCGATCGACATTTCCTAAAGGAGAAACAAGAAAATGTGTAGTAATATCAACTTTAAAGTAAAGATTGTGGGAAAAATCCAATGCTTACATTTTCGTGGCCATATGTATCCGCAAAGTGATACAACAGAGGTCCTAAGTTTATCCAAACCTGATGGAAAATTAATTTAGACAGTCAGGAGATTTAAAAATAAAAGATCAAAAGCGTTGGAAAGAGCGTGACAGGGAAATTACTCCTCCATCTTTTAAGATCTTTGATATGGTTTCGATGTACTCGATGATGTTATGAGCGGTGTCGATGAAAAAGCAAGTCACAACTGCATCCCACACTCCTGAAATTCGGTGTTACCGGTTACGTTTAAACAAATGAGTGGTGTGTTCGGTATGTACTACAGATGATAAGTAACATATGAACGGTTCTTTGTTAGGGATGAAATCTCAAAACAGAAAATATACATATAGCTAATACAAAGCAAGTGTTGTTCACGGTTTCCTACCTGCTTGACTTGACTCGTTGTATACTTCAACAAAATCACCACCACACATAGAGAAACCTTCAGTTATTCCTGCACTGCTCACAGAAAATGTTTTACATAAACTGTTTAGTAAAGTGACATAATGACTGTAGTTGCATAAAATCACCAATACAAGTTGCTTAAACACTTTCGATTGAGTTCCCTTATGTTCAACCAGGAAAACAGATAACTCTTCATACCTAAAACTGACAGCACATTGTAAAACCATAAGCCATTTGGTTCTCTCTGCGGTTCGATAACGCATACCTAGCAGGATGAATATCAGGAATAGAAATAGGACGTAGTTGATCATTGTCCGAGAGCGAATTGCAGTTGCTGTGTATCCAAGGGTATATTGTCCACTCTCCAGGTACTTGTGAACTGATGAAAAAATAAAGCTGAGCAACACTCAAAAATGGACCAAAAGTAAGAAACTACCTCAACTAAATCTAGAGATACATCACAGAAGAAACTACATTGTGGACTCTCCAAAAGCAACTTAGAAAAACACTTCGGAAATTTAGAGGTTGGCTGATGTGAAAAATGTTTGAAGGTACTGATTGGGGATTTGATTTATATTCTATGCACAACATGGATGACCAAAATATAAGGAATATAAAAGATAATATATTCAAGAAAGTAAGAAACTCTTACTAATTCAGAATAAAACTTGAGCATATCATCATGTAGTATGAAAATTCATTTCCTTGGCTTATGAAACCTGTTCCGATGTATAAAAGTTGTTATATACTTTACTATCGTCAAAGCT